GGAAAATTGGCACTTGCGTGAAAAGCACCTCGTGTCATTTCGACGGCGAGGAAATTGAAACGGTGACGTTTACTCGAGCTGACGTCTAGAAGGTGCTGAACAAACGACATTTCCGCCTTAATCTGACACTCTTGAGCAAAAACACCAGTCGACAGAAACGGAAGAGGTTTTCTCAGAGAAAATGCATTACAGCTTATCGTGTCAACGAACGAGATCATATCTTTGTTTCCTGACTGAGAACAGTATTTATTTTTCGATGCAACATGCGCAAACATTTTTGCGTATTGTTTTCGATCCGTGATCGAATTTCAGGGCCTGTCCCTGATGCTGAAATTGACCGAATTTCAAGTTTCTATACGATATTCGTATCCCATTTTATGAACAGAAAATAATCACGCAATTTAATAATTCCGAAAATATTGATAAGGGTACTGCTACANTTTTTCGATGCAACATGCGCAAACATTTTTGCGTATTGTTTTCGATCCGTGATCGAATTTCAGGGCCTGTCCCTGATGCTGAAATTGACCGAATTTCAAGTTTCTATACGATATTCGTATCCCATTTCATGAACAGAAAATAATCACGCAATTTAATAATTCCGAAAATATTGATAAGGGTACTGCTACAATTTCTGCGCAAGCTGAAAATCTTCCTTTATGTTCGAAAACGATGGATGATTTCATTCTCTATTAGCTCAAATTTTAATTTTGATTAAATCGGATATTTCGAAGCAAGGAATCGTTTATTTTTTAAAAATTTCGAAATAGTACAGATATTTTTGTGTGTTTTTTCTCTCCACTCTGTAAAGAAAACATGTAAAACAACCTTATTTCAAAATCGCAGGGCATATTTTTTCAACATTTCAGTTTTGAAGCACTTGAATGTACTTCTATAAGGGAATAGATCCAGCCCGTAAATATTCTGGCTCGAAAAGAGCCGAAAATTGAAAACTTTGACACGGAAGTTCCACAAAAATGTGATTGCAAAGCTCCACAAATACGAACAGTACCGCCCTAATTTTGATTCAAACTTCTAAACTATTATGAGCACTTTCATAATAAAATCCTCGTTTTACACGTATTTCTTGTTGGTCCTCTAGGACCATGGATTTTGACAATCCATGAGACAAAGACCCGCAGAGAGAAACCCCACATACCTGAAACGTGAAGTCGAATTGGCAAACTTTTCTTGGGGTTCGTCGAAAGTTGGCATTCGTAGACACCAGCATCTGCAACGCTAGCTGAATACACGTTGAGGTACCAGGTTTTGGTTCCAGGGTCCAATTCAGGTTCGAATCTGTTGTCACTTATGAAGGTTATGTTGTCAACTGCCATGATGTGTTGATCTCGTTGTCTCATCCAAGCGACCTGAAAATACACAGTGATTCACAGTTGATTGTTGGATCTAAATTCACAAAATCTGTAAATTCATAATGTTTCAGATGATCCGACCTAAGTCAGAAATCTTCCAACTATTGTACAAGTGAATGGTTCAGCATTTTCTTAGCAAATACCGAAACTGCGCCAAAGTCTAGGAATCCAGAATGAAAATGGTTTTAATTTATTCTCAAGTGAAGAAAAACCTTCTCGTTTGTTCACTAAATATATTTCAAAAATGTTCGTTAGCAATAAAAATCTAAACATTTTTGAAAATAAATTGAGAAGTGATCTAAACATAAAATGGAAACTTAGGATCGAAATGTTGATTATTTGAATCGGAATGCGTCCGACTCCAAGGCTTAGTGGAACGTTTTGTCAATGCAAAAGTTTTCAAAATACTGTAAACATTTAAATTCCAAAGGAATGTACTGTACTGCAACTAGAAAAATAATATAAACGTCACCTCCAAAGTTTTTGTCAATGCAAAAACAATGCGTTCAACTTTTCACTGTAGAACGAGTTCCTATTACGACCTAAAGAAGATATTGTTTCACATTCGAGTTTTAATCACGCAGGATGAATAGGAAATTCAAATATATGGTAAATGCTTGTCAAGCCAACACCAAGAATCAGATGCTTAATGTC